TTATCTTCTTTCCTCAAGGCCAATCTCTGAAGACCTGTTCCTTCCCAAAAGGCTTCTTGTCTGTTGAGTTTGAGAGCACCGTACCATACAAAGAATGGAGGATTTAAGGGTTTTTAATGCAGTACACTACTTTTTCAGGTTCTGCTAAATAATATTATGAAAAAAAAGTGTTAAAAGACTTGATTTCACAAAGATAAACTGCTCAGTCATACGGCCTCCTGTATAGAGCAGCGTGTACCATTTCTTCCTATCTAGGATTGCGTTAACACACAGAAATATCCACTATTGTTTAATTCATGTCCTGGAACTTAAAGATGATTTTCAAAAGTGATACCTCAAGTAGATTCTGCAGATTTCATTATCCAACTTCATAAACCCACTTTCTACTTCTGGCAATTCTGAACAGTCTTCTTGTATGCTCTGCTGTGCTATTTACTCCTCTAATAAGGGCATTCCTCTACCTGACTCATACAGAGTCATTATGGAGTTCAAAGTGATCAGCATTCTACTTCCAGTATGCTTTTTTTTTTTAAAGTGAGGAATCCCATCTTATCTAAATGTGTGTGGTTTCTTACAGCTAATTATAGTTTAGTGTTATTGCTGACATGACTGCATCAGTGCTACAGAAAGATCTTACACTGAAAACATAAGTCAAACAAAGTAACTTTCAATTCTTCCAACATAAATAAGAAATATACCACATAATTAACTCGGAGTTGATACATAAAGCACTTACAATACACTAACTGTTAGTGTGTTATCAACTAATCCTTTTTCTTTGCTTAGTAGGTCCTATCTGAAAAGCCACAGGACTAAATCCTCACAATCCATTCTTTATCAAGTCCCACACACAGCTTCTTCCTTCAGGGAAATAACCCTCCTGCAAACCAGAGAAAGATACTTGTGAGCCTGCTCCTTAAGCCACACGGCAAACTGCATACACAAGGAGAATCTCAGAAACAGGGCAGATTAGGAAAGGCAGAAGGCAGCAGAAAACCCACTCCGTGAATCTCATAAATAAACAGATAGGTGCTACAGCAACTCAGAATTGACAGAACTTGTGTAGTTGTCTGTAATCACAGGGGCGGAAGCCTTCCTTCTAAGGGACTCAAGAAGAAAGAAATACGTTCAGGGAAGAGGTTGTAAAGAATTATTGTCATTAATGTCATTGTTTCATCATTTTGGAAACAGAGAGAGAGCAATACAGAAGGGGAAATGGCTCTCTTGAGGTGACCAAGAGGCTTGAGTCAGTCCAGCTAAATATTGCACCACGGCACCACACTTCTGTCTTCTTGTCACATTCCCACAAATGCAGCTAAATGCAAATAGAGGAAACTGCTTATACTCTTTCCTGCATGTATAAATGTATTCCCACTGCCAGTAATGGATGAGGAAGTAAAGCAAAACATATGAAGAAAAAACAACTGGCACCAGGATAGGCTTAAGAATCCTCTATCTTCACACACTCACCCCATCTAGGTGAGATACATTCCTCTCAGCCACTTTTGTCGCATCAGTTACAAGACAGGAATATCTTTGATGAAAACCTTCAGAAACACTTCAAGAAAAGAAGATTTCCACATCACAACCAGCTGCGTTAATTCCAGTCTTGGAACAATTGTAACAAAAAAGCCTTTTGTATTTCTCATGTAGAAAAAAATAATTACTGTACATATGCACATCTCTATTGAAATGATTTTTTTTTTCTTTGTTTCAGAAGCAGAGAGATTGTGAATCTGAAGAAAAGAAATGCCACAGCTCAGTTAACCAAGTGCATGGACCTGACCTGAAAAACAGAAACCACAGCAGTAAAAACATACCTTTCTTTTTCTTCCTATTAACATAACTTAGCAGCTATGAAAAATAAACACGCTGCTGATTCTGTAGTGTTCTTCCTCAGTGCGTATTCATCACTACAATACGCCAGGCAGTGACAGCAAATAATAAATCATTATCCCTGACAATGAAGAAAAGAGCAATTATGACTCCTGACAAATTTTGCACCGCAGGTCAAGTTATCCCCTGTGTTGGGTTTAGCTCCGGTTGTCCAGAGAGCACCTCGACTGACGGCGAGCACAGGAACATGCCTCCATCAAAAGTTCTCAATCTTCCTCTACTAGCCAAGAACCTAGCTGGAAAGTTTGCAAGCACACCTCAAAATTTCATCCCTATTGCAAAAAAGGGCCTGAATAATTATAATGAAATTGAATGAGTTGAGAAGACAGATACAAACTCTCAAGTTCACTTTCCATCTGAAAGCAAAGTCTAAGTTTGGAGACTTAGGTGGCAGAACTGATCTACAGACGACAAAGTTAGAAAGCTGTGACCTTATCTTTAGCGTTGCAGGCAAGCCTGTAGAAAGACCCAAATATTTCATTTGTTGAATATTTCTATTACTAACGACTAAGTGGTCCTGTTATATATGTACTGTACCAATGACACTGGATGATAGAATCTTATCTTCAATACTTGCTCGACTTGGTGATATATATATATATATATATATATATATATGGATATGGATATATGGATAATACTTGGTGATTCAGAAATCTAAGACAACTCTGCAGTTGTAGTTACCTCTGCACATTTCTGCATCACTCCAGGCAGACTTATTTCAAGTGCTTCAAAAATCTATAACACAGTTACAGAAACACAAAGACACAGCAGTGGTGGCAGGGTGAAAAGGTGCCAAGCCCATGGCGTGGTACAATTGTGCAAGCTCATGTACAGACACAGGTGGACTTCACTCAGAACACTCTTAAATTACCGCAGGAGACAACAGTCAGACAGCTGAAAGGCCCATTCTTGGTAAGTGTAACAGGGAGCACAGAACTAGCTGTGTGAGTAAGGGCTTCTATCTCTTGCTACGAAAAAGCACAATGCCTGCCTGTTGTCTAGCTTTCTTTTCAACACTTGGATCTTTGAAATGTGTTACCAGGTTGAAGTACACCCTGAAACTGCACGCCTGCTATATGAACATTCTCATTCTGACTGCTCACATTTTCACACAAATTTCTTCACAGCAAAGAAAATAAGACGTTTCTGGTCATCACATCAACAAACTAAGCCTCATCCTGATTTACACTCTGTAGAGGAGAGCCAACGCAAGCATGCAAGTTTTAAAAGAGAACACAATCTTGTTTCAATTCTGTCGAACTTAGGGGACAGCACATTTTCATTTACCATGATTGCTTAACTCACATCCACCCAGTTTTGTAACCCAAATTCAGATATTAGCTCAGAACTGGGCAGCTTGACTTCGTTTCCAGGGAAAGCACACACCTTCTGATTGCATGTTTCACCGTAAGGATATGAAACTGTCCAAAACCAATTCTTCTCTAAGAAGAACTATTGGTGTTGCTTTTTCTTTCTCAAAGCTTGTTCTAACACCCACTCTGCCCAAACATCCTTTGTGCCATTCCAGTCTTTGTGGTGGCTACTGAACTGAGAGCCTCTACATGTTCACAGTGCAGAGGTGTTGAGCAGTGCAGCATACTGCACGTCTTAGGCCTGACTATTTTGCAGGCACCATCCATCAGATTGTTGTGGTAATGGCACTGAGTCAAGACCAGATATTTGTTCCGCATAGGTCAGTGAAAAATGACACGGAGCAAAGTGGGATTCAAACCAATCATCTCACAGTGAAAAACTCTATATCCCATTGCACTGAGCTACCTGGCACCTTCCTCATTCTCTGGCTGGAGATGTGAAACAGCAATACTCCATCAGAGCACACAGTGTGTCCATCCTCCCGAGGAGAAACCTAGCACGTGAAAACATTTGATTCCCTTGCAGAATTATTGCTTTTCTAATAAGGGAAGTACACCTTCAGACTGATATCTGCTAACTTCTCTGTAGCAGAGGTTTTGTTTTACTTCTTACAGCCTGTCTAGCAGTTTATGACAGAGAAACCATGACAGAAGGCAATCAACAGGTCCACGGTGGTAAGAAATCCCTTCTACAAACGTAAAATCTTTCTTATCAAGGACTAACCTGCATACTTCTAAATCATCAGACCAGTCATCATACAACACTGGAGGCTTCTGACCAGTGTCAGTCACTGCGGGCCCTGCCCCAAAAGGTGCTCCACTGTCTGGGGCAGCCAGAGCATCACTGCCAGAGCCTGCCTCCGCAAAGCAGTCCTCGATGCCTTTACTGCGCCCGAGGCACGAAGATGCAGGTTGCCCATCTCTGCAATAGCTTTTCCCTTTGCTTTTTCCACATTTTCGTGAGGAAATCCTTGCTTCCTGAGACGATGCTGAAGACTGTGATTCCTTAAGCCTTGGAATCCTTCTTCTGCGATGATTTAAAGTAGGATTCTCGGGGTCAGATATGTCCTGCTTCTTTTTCCCCGCTGTCTCCAGAGTGACAAGTTCAACAGCATTTGAAGACCCATCCTGGTTACTGCATGATCCCTTATTCCTTCTCCCTCTCCTGGTCATTCTGGCTTTTTCCCTTGCTCTCCTCCTAGCCTGAGCCCACTGACCTTCATCTGAGGACGATGATGAATCAGATGCATTCCAGCTGGATTTTGCAGCCTCGGGATGTAATTTGCAGTCTTTCCCCTTTCCTTGCTTTTCTGCATGCTCACCATTGTCTCCAGTCTCTCTTTTCCGCCTAAACCTTCGTTTCACTTGTTTCTTACCAGACTCCCTATTAGAAGGGGTCAGCACCATGACTGGGGTTGCATGTTCAAGTTCATCTTCTGACAGATCATGCAAAGTAGTAGATCTAGACAAAGCGGTAAGCAAAGGAAAGGGGTGGAAATGGTATGGATGGGTGGAAAGAGAAAAAAAAAAGGATGAAAAGGAGAACGTGAATTGTGGTATGAAACTGAAAAGCCAAAACAGAAACAAAACAGATCACAAGAAAAAAACTGAAGTCTGTGAAATTATGGACAGTGTTACGCAGAAGCAAGAACTACATACACTACATATTACTTAATAAAGGCAATAACAAACATCAGTCTGATGTGATACATTTTTCTCAGCACATACCTACAAATGTCCTGAGTGGAAGGGCAGACAGACAATCGTGACTGACTCCTGGGAGCTGTTCCTGTTGTAGGGCTGCTTGCCTGTTGAAATAAGTTAGACAGTTTGGAATCTTTGTCCATGAAATACATTGCAGATATTTTACTGCTTTGCCACATGATGACAAAATTAAAGTAACTGCTGCTGCTGCTGCTGTTCATAGCGTACTGCTGAACAAATGCAAGTTCAAAAATACAGGAAGCCTGACCAAAAGCAAAACCTGTTTGTGGAACTAAATATGACTGAAGTGTTTCAGCTGTCATTTGCTCATGACTACTTCTTGCCACTGTTTGAGGAAGCAGCTTTCAACATCTGAGATTTCAATTTGGTTGCTACCTACCGTAAATGTCTGATGGGAAGGGATGTTGTTTTTATTTCACGCAGTCAACTCATGGAATCACAACGATTCCTTTCAAAACAAAATAAAGGGCATTTACATAATGCTGAGTGATGAAGAGCACAAAGTAAACCTATGCTGAGCAGACTGATGAAACATCAAGGAAATTAAAGTATGTTCTAAAAGGTTTTTAAGGCAATTCCATCTTCAAGAAGAGCAGAAAAATATCAAACTGATGAGCCTGGAAAGACCAGTGTGAGGGTTGCAGCTCTACACAACTGATCACAACTGCAAACAGTGGGGGAGAGAGAGAGAGCAGGTTTAGTATGTAACATTTTGCTCTTAAGACTGTTGCTACAAATTGCAAACTCCGTGGCTCAATACTTCTGCTGCAAACTTATTTTGAGGGTGTTAACAGAAAACCCTTTCAATCTGTCTCACATTCTTTCAGCAGCACGGCTATATGGAATCCAAGTTCTAATCCACGGCTTTGTGATTCTTCACTCACCTGGTACAGTATTGTGAGGAAATGTATAGCATTCTTAAGGCTGTACCATTCCTGTAATTCATAAGGACGTTAACTTTCTGTATGGAACTCTGAGCCCCTGTGAGTTCCACCACCAAATGGAGACAAAATAATGCTCTTATCAGGATAGCATCAGAGACTAGACAGCAGTGCTTTTGCATTCAAATAATCTAGCTTTAAGAATTCAGGCACTCCTATTTACCTCGTCATGTGCTATCACAAGACCAAAGGAGCTATGAAAATGAAACTAACATGAGAAATCAAATCGGTAGAGCATTCAGGCACAATATTCAAAAGGTATTTCAATGCTTTGGACCACCAGGCAATGGAGGAACACCAGAACGTCCGCAGAACGAGTATCAATGAGGGAAAACAAAAAGTTCATACATCAAATCTCCTTTTCTGCAAAAGCAAAGTATCATTACACGTTCCCTGAAGGGATATGATTACATACACTATGAACAAGTGGTATATGCATAGCTGGGTATGTAATCTTTTCCCCCTTTAGTCTCTGTGACCTGTTAGACTCTGTTTGAAGTGACTGGGCAGACCTTAATCTGTTTGCACAGCTACTTAAAGAGGAAAGCTGACACAGACACCAGAGCTCCCTCGTTGGACTACATGCTGATACAGTTTGAAAAAATGCCCCTCCAGATAAACAGCAGGTGAAAGACAGCTGAAGAAATCCAGCCCCTGTCGAGGGTACAGTACTGAATTCATCCCTACTTCCCCTTTTTTGGGTTGTTACTTTATTTTTTTTTCTTTGCAGCTGCAGGACTTTATCAGTGCTTCTCCCTGGATCTGTGTTACATACAGCTCAAGCTTGATCTTCAGTAGTGGTCAGGTTATGCCCACACCACCAAGGCAAGCTTTGCCCTTGGAATGGACACGGAGAACATCAAAACAGCACAATAACTGTACTGTAGTTCTGCACAAGTTCAAGACCGTTCCAGCAGCTATTAAGGCAGGAAGTCAGCCTAGCAATTCTTGGAGACAGGTGGAAATCTAATTATTTTATGAATTGATTGCTTAACTCTTAGGTTTCGCTCTCGGCTGCACAGAGGTCTGGCCAGTTTCAGCCCTGCTCAGTCACATTTACTTTCTAGTTCCCCTGCACTGGCATCATTACGTTTTGTTCAGCTGCACATAACTCAGAGCACGGTTTCTTTTCTTCTAAAACAATTTTCAACACATTCCTGAAAAACGAATGCTTTTTGCTTGTTTAATCCCTCCTGGAGCAAACCTGACATCTGAGCAGGCAGAAGGGTTATGTGCAGATTGAATACTCAAAAACAAAGCAAGAGAACTCCAACGTGCTGACTTATGTATGAGATAACTCAGGTTCTCAGACCTGAATGCTCTGTTCAACAGGCTTCTACAACTTCTAAACACAAGTGTTGGTTTTATCTACTTTACAATAGCTTCTAATGGTCAGGTGAGCTATGCAGTGATATCCAAAACTGAAAATGTTAGTGTTTCTCACAACCATTTTCTGATGTATACTTAGGATAACAGCAGACCCTTTGTGCCTTGCAGGCACTGGGGGGTCTTATTTTACAAATAATTCCAGATTTCTCTCTCTAAACTCAACAGAAGTGGAAGGACCTGTTAAAGTCAAGTTTGCCACATGAACGTAATCACACTTAAGGACTTGTTTTGAATAACACGTGAATTTCAGCTCGGCTGGAAGACCACTCCAGAACTTTACCCCAAATCTCTTTGCACTTCCACCCCACCCACAATCTGACAGCACGACCCGCGCTGACACAGCAAAGCACTGCACACATCATTAACTTGCTGCCACCTTGGACTGCCTGATACACCGTGCTTCCACAGAAAGCAGCACTGAACAAGTTCATCACCCCCACTCAAAATATACACTTTCTGTTTTGCAATCATCTTTAGTGCTGGTCTCGGTAACAAAATGCAAAATTCCATATGTGGCATCAAGTTTATTTTACAGGTCTATTGGTCAGACCACGATCATTTGTATACGTTCTGCTCATATGTATCCATCCTGCTAATGAGCTCTTATGGGAATGTATATAGAACAGATGATGGAAGCAGTCTCAGGCACGCAGATCTTATTGTCAGTACTGCTGTCACACTGCTATATGGCTATTTAGCACAGTGAACATTTTCAGATACTGCATTCACTGCATAGAAGGATCAGACTGATGCAGTGGACTGCAATTCCACTTGGCAGGCTGAACAATGAATTCCTTTAAAAATAGTATTCCTTGAGCTGACGTCTAGTTCAGACAGCAATACTGTGCAGCTCATCAGAATGGCAACACTAAACTAGCACTGTGCTGATTTTATCATAAGCAAATTATACCAGCAACATAATTAAGGGTGATAATTCCAAAGAAAGTTGTCTGACAATCCTATAAGCAAGGCATCTCATCTCTCTACGACATCAACACAAGAAAGATACCTGAGGGTAGCACCAACTCCAGCTGATTGGGTTTGGCAATTCAAAAATACTGTTAGCAGAGATTCCCAGTCACCACCTTCTGCTGTCTTGGCCAGTTGAGATGCATCAGGGATATGCAATCCAATTAATAAGCATGACATGGAGCTTATTCATAATTATTTTTGATATGTTCAACAGAAGTTGGTCATATGTTTTTCAAACACAGTACTGGTAAGATGTGGCATTTCCAAGGCAAGCAAGATAATCATTGTGTCACACAGTGGGAATCGAATGTCACCCTTGTGTCTCCATGTTAAAGGACTGCAGCAAAGACAGAAAAGGGGGGGACAGAATGATGTGCAACTGACAAAAAAGGCAGAATTGAAAACCCACGTTGCCTTGTAATGATGTTCAGAATCTGACAGAAGTTCCCAGTTGATAACAGACAATGAGAGTCCTCCTCACTGACCAACTACTGCGTAGCACTGCATGTTGAACCTAGTCCAGAACAGGGATGGATTCTCCTAAAGAGCCAAGGGCTCTATTTGCAACTAACAGAAGAGCTCAGTAAAGGCACGTTTCACAAGTGCAAAGCGTTCATATCTGAACGGAGTTAGGCTTCAAAATAACAACCCAGCTGACATCAAATGGCCTCACAGATACCCCCCGAAAGGTTAACGAATCTTCTAATGCCTCTGTTCTGAATAAGGAAGGCCAGAGGCATTTCAAAAAGCTGCTCAGCCTACAGCTTGGGTAGAAAGTCACAGAAAATTGGCGGAGGCAGGGCAGGCAGGGAATATGACTAATGCTTTTATGCTCACACTAAGCGTGCTTTATGGCAGCAATGCATCACAGAATCCTCCAGATCCCACCTGCTAATACAGTTAAAAAGCTGAAGCTTTATCCTATTAAAATAATGGTACCCCAAGGAACAGATACCTTAGAAGATTAGAGCAGTTTGCACAGCAATAAGGCTCAGCAGGAGATCCAGTCTGCATATTTACACTCGGAAACCCCACTTGGTGAACAGTGTAGCTTTTTATAGAACACATCAGTCTTCATAAACTTTTGTAAGTTTATGAACTTTTACGAGTTTATAAGACAATAAGGTAATTTCTCAGGTCTAAAAAGATCAAAAACACAGTTGAAATAACTCAGGCTCAAATCCTAACCTACAGCCAGGTGTATCCTATAACACGTCTTCAGGGATTCCATTTCCATTTGGAATTGAAACTTACGCTCTTTTTTTTCCCCCTCTCTTTGGTAATTCAGGATGGAGCTCCTGCATTCAGACCTAGACATCTTTACTGTCTGACTGATGGCTTTCCAGCAACCATTAAAGGAACTGGTAACTCAATTTGTTACGTTTACTTTCACAGCGAGGTTTGGTTTTGTGTTCTTTTTGGCACGCTTCTTCCCCAGGTGTTTTATTTCTCTCCTATCTTCTTTCCCCTCCTTCCACCAGTCTTTGAAGGCAAGGAATAAACACTGCAGCTCCGCAATAGTTTTGATTCATATTTCTCTTCATTCTTTTTAGGCATTATTGCTTTGTTAGCAAAAAATATTGTACAGTTCCTAGAAAAACTTACACTATTCATTGATTCACCGAATTATGCAACTGAAACCCCAGAGGGAGCTGCTCTTTTTGCAAAAGGTGCAGAGCCCTGAAGCCAGCAGCTTTTGACTGTGTGCAAGGAGCTCAGAACAAATGTTGCCCAAGGAAAGGTGAAGCAGAAAACATGCACCTCCTCACTACTGGACTGCAGAGTTTACTTCCAAAGCAGCCAATATCAGTATTCACTGTTTGTGCTTTTTTTCTTCCAAAGACAGTACGCATTTCTACATATCCCTCCACCTCCAGGACATAAAGCCTCAAAATGGGGTTGTAGTGAGCTGGGGGTCGGCCTCTTTTCTCGTGTCATTAGTGATAGGACCAGAGGGAATGGCTTCAAGCTACGGCAGGGGAGATTCAGGCTGGACATGAGGAAGTATTACTTTTCAGAAAGGGTGGTCAGGCACTGCAATGGACTGCCCAGGGAGGTGGTGGAATCACCGAGCCTGGGGGTGTTCAAGGAAAGACTGGATGTTGTGTTGAGGGACATGGTTTAGTGGGAGCTATTGGGAACAGGTGAACGGTTGGACTGGATGATCTTGAAGGTCTTTTCCAACCTTGGTGATTCTATGATTCTATGATTCTAAAATATTGCAGTATACTAACTAAACAGCTTTCAATCATATGGCATTCCTGCAATTCTCCCATGTGTGCACATGTGAGGATATGATCATTATATTCAAACAGCCTGGTGTGCCTATGTAATATTTATTTATTCTGGCCCTACAGAAGAAAGAAATCTAAATGTCCCAGAGCAAAAGAGCTGAATAGAGAATATTTATATGACTAAGCCAAAAGATGGTGAAATCCTAACACACCATTTTAAAGAACAGAAGACACCATATTTTTTGAAATACAAAAAGCCTCAACTTTAAGCAAAAGAGTAATTTTCATAGAATCATAGAATGGCCTGGGTTGAAAAGGAGCACAGTGCTCATCCAGATCCAACCCCCTGCTGTGTGCAGGGTCACCAACCCCCAGACCAGGCTGCCCAGAGCCACATCCAGCCTGGCCTTGAATGCCTGCAGGGATGGGGCATCCACAGCCTCCTTGGGCAATTTTATATCAGTGCAGATGTAAAGTTTGCTTAATTGGATTGGTGGTATACATTTAGGAAAACTCAGTTTGGTAAGAATTATGACTTAAGAAAACAGAATCTGTACGACATATCACACTGTTTTTCTGCATGCGTTCCTTTTCAATAGAGCACTAATTTAAAACAGGGCCAACCATATCCCAGAACAAACTGAACATGTATTATCTTCTGCTGGTTGGGCCCTGAAACTGAGACACGCTTGATGTAATTTTATTTAGAAGTTCATATGTCAGGCAGCCGTAGGTAATTCTGCAGTCATTCCTTTCATTAAGCTTACTGCAACTAGAGAATGAATTCCATGGACAAGACACAAAGCATTGTGGTGTCAAAGGAATCACACATTTGCATATAATAGGAAAAAAAATCAGCAATGATTTTAAGTTGTTGCAGCTCATTCTCATTTTTGCCTTTTCTGCTCTATGTTTTGATGAACAAAATACTTTTCACTTACTTGCTTGCTCTTTATTGTTATTTTCAACAGTAGTAGAATCATAATGAGAGCTAAGAGCTAAGCGAGTCTCCACCTTTGAAAATAATGATTTTGTTTATGAGCAAGAAGAATCATTTAGATGACTAAGATAACATTTACACTCAAATTTTAATGCCAGTTTTGTATACATTGTATTATTCATTGTAACAGTGCTTTTAAAGGCTGACATTTTGCACTTTACAAGAGCAAGGACTTGTTTGCTCTCGGCTTATTTTCTTTTTTAAAAGCTCTGTGCTTTCGGTTCTGTTAAGACTGAACATTACATCAACCTTGTATCAACTTACTGGGTTATTTTAAAATAAAGTTCATTAGAGTAAACTAGGAGTTACGCTTTGAAAGGGCTGAAGAAAAGGAATCCATGGCAATCTGAAGAGAACTGCCATCTGTGAGCGGTGTCAGAGTGGCAAAGAATAGGAAGAATGGTGTAAGCTGATGTGATTCTAGCTGTACAGTATCCTGTATTAAAATGCAAAGGGCCACACAATTACTCTTCAGGATTCAATCATGCCACAGTTATCCTGGAGTAATCCTCTCCCAAAATCTGAGCAGCTCAAAACAGAAAACTGGCTGCAGTACATACTTCATCTCAAACTTGATATCATTGAGAGGAGCTGGACCTGACATAAGAAATCACTGCACACAGTGGAGACAAACATACAGTGGAACCAATCCTTACCATCTTTACTTTCTCTGTTGGTTTTCATATATTAAATCAGACTAATGAATGTCATGACAATGACTATTCCAGAACAGTCGTCTCACTGATGTAAATTAACTGCATTTTATTACATAGCTGCTTCAGAGACTGGTAAACAAGAAGTGTACTGACACCTGCTTTTGAGAAGCACTTGAGCTTAAACAAAAATTTGCTCCAAGTCTGAGTTTCACTGAAAAATAAGCCCAAAGCTACCAACAGAGAATTTGAAATATGAAATTCTCCTCTAAGGAGCTCTTGATTTGTACTTAACATGCAGAAAGATAATTACAACGTGCTAGAAATGTTTTTTCCATGATTTTAACACAACCAGGCAGCCTCACCAACACATACGAGCATAACTTCTATGGGCTGCAATTCAAACACAACAATTTTTCCACTAGCTACTCCCAAACAGAAAAATGAACCCACAGATCCTCATCAGACTAGATTTCCTCTTAAGTCACTTGCACATAAACAATTTACTGAGAAAAGCTACAATACACAGAACTAACCAATGGCAAATAGATAATGAACGAATGTGGGGTTTGTTTGTTTCTATTCATTTACTTAAGAGTTTAAACACACCTAGAGAAAATAATTCTAATTCTGAAATCCAGAGCGGTTCTTAAGAGTAACTTTGGGAGATTGGTGGGAGAGAAAGTAAAAAAAAAAATAAATTAAAACAGGAAAGGTGGTTCATAACACACATCCAGTACTTGTGTTTCTTTTATAATAGGTAAGCTTTCAAAGCCACAATCAATAATTCGGGCTCCATCTCATCACTGAAAGGTAGTACGAAATAGAGATCAGTTCCAAATACAATCCATCAATCCCAGTGCTAGCCAGGAAGAATGCCAGATGACCTGTTTATTGATATATTGAGTTCTATAGAAGAAGTGTAGGTTATTACCAGAAGTGCAGAACAAGCTGCACTTTCCTATACACTTTCCTAACCATCTCTGCTTGGAAAGCTAACTAAAGTATTTGCTTTTGGAATCCCAGGGCAGTTTCAATGAGGTGCAGGCTGAAGATAATGAGTGAATATCCCAGATGGATGTTCACTGAGGAGAGCCATAGCTGCCTGTCAGTTAGAAGCACGACAACAGAGGCAGAGTATAGAGTACAAAATCATGTGAGATTACTTTTAAAAACCTGCAATCAACTCAGTGGTTACCACATAAGTGGCCACAGTAATGTGCTGGAGAAGAACACAGAGATGGATGAGCAAATCCATCTGGAGAAATGCTCTCCCTCCCACTGAATAAAACGGTGCTGGTAAGGCACCTTTCCAGTAGTTGAGGGGAGCATATGAACAGGAGGAGGAATGGCTGTTTAAGAAGGTGGACAGTGACAGGACAAGGGGGAATGGTCTTACACTGGGACAGGGGAGGTTTAGGTTGGATATTAGGAGGAAGTTTTTCACACAGAGGGTGGTGAGGCACTGGAACAGGTTGCCAAGGAGGCTGTGGATGCCCCATCCCTGCAGGCATTCAAGGCCAGGCTGGATGTGGCTCTGGGCAGCCTGGTCTGCTGGTTGGTGATCCTGCACATAGCAGGGGGTTGAAACTGGACGAGAATTGTGGTCCTTTTCAACCCAGGCCATTCTGTGATTCTATGATTTAATGAATAACCTGAAAGGGCAAATGTTTCCAGGATAAATACACGCATATTCTCTTATCATACAAAAAAGGCATTTTGAATCAAGCAATACACAACAAACTAGATTTCCAATCAAGCTTCACTTGTAGGTATCTTCGCATACAACAGAAGCAGACTGAGTTAACTGCATGCATGAAAATCCAGCTCATTAAAATGCCACTTAAAAAGCTGCAAACACTTCCAAATAAGCATCTATACTGATTTCTGTAGAAAATACTTCAAAATAAATGACACCGTTGTGTCTCATATTAGTGAATATATACACATGATTTGCTATGGTGTAACACGGGCCACTGAAATTTACAGAAGTTGAAAAAAATATCAAATCCACATCATTTTACACCAACTACAACTACAGACATGCATTTAAAATTCTCACTGAAAATAACACATAGAATTGACTGAGATCAAGTTTGAAAGTATACATACTTCTTCTAAAAAGGCAAGCCAGGAGGAGATTCAGCCACATCCTACAACAGACTAGATATAATCACATTTATCCTTCCTTTTTGTTTTTCTTTTTAAATTCTTCTCCTCAATGTAAATGAGCAGAATCTAACATACACTTCGTTTCCTTAAGTAACAAATCTTTGCTTTTTAAGGTTCTGTGAAGTAAACATTTTCCTGTGCACCCTGCTGACAATGTTGTAGGGAAGGCAAAATATTGCACTGGAGGCAAAATATTTCATCTTCAGATGCAAACATAAAACATGGCAGATAAAGAGACTGGGATTCCAAAACAGTGAGTTTTGAGCTTTTACCTCCCCTAAATCTTGGCTTTTTGGAATAGATTTAAGCCATATTTAACCAAAGGGGTTCATACATAACAACTGTTATTATTTGAGTGGATGGAGCAGAGGGAGAAACATCAACAGGTAATTCTACCTTAAGACAAGCGTTAATGTAAAATTGAGCAACTGTAGAAAGAAGGCAGAAAGTGTGCACTTGTTATTTACTTACTATTCCTATGTATTACAGTAAGGACTAATTGTATATTTATACTTCAAGATGGATTTTACTTGGTAATCATACTAATATGCAGCAAAAAAAACCCAAAAAAACTTCATGTCTATAAAGAATAAATGAAAATACGTATATATAGTTGGATAGAGTACTATCTTGTACTTAATCCACTTTTCACATGCTTTGATTATCTCCTAAAGGCAATAGATTTCACATACCTTTGAAATATTACTTGATCGACTCGTGGAACGCCCTGGGGATTTGTCATTCTGGAAAACATAATTAGGAGATGAAAAAAAATTATCTCCTGCAAATTCTACCTAAGAAGAAATACTCTGTTTGTGATTGCAAATATGCAGTTTCTCTACTTTTCAGTTTGGTCACTGACTGTACACAGTGGAAGACAGTTCAACACCCAAACCATTACAGCACTCAGATGACTTACATCAAGACAGTGGAAAGATGCTCTGCAAGAAATGCACGTTAGCAACTAATTACTGTTGTCCTCTTTTGTTGGTGGAGGTGATTTTTTTACACAGCATTTTGATTAATGCATCATCGAGGCCTCTCATGAAAACAGCTGCTCTTGTATGAACAGAAACACAGTGTGACAAATAATGAAATCCACCTGCTTACACTGGACACAGACCTACTCAAACAGTTCAACTTACCATTCAGGAAGATCAAACAGCAGGATATGACTTTCTGGCCAGACACATTCAAAGAACAATAAAGTATAGCTACTGGTACACGTGGTTCAATTTAACATTCACTCCTCTATCCTCTCACCTCCACAGAAAACACCTTGCAAGAGTCTGAAATCCACTAATGATGCATACATTCAACAGCTACATTTCTACAGCACGACCTTTTTGTCTGCTGGCTTGTTTTTCCTCTGGTAATTCAAATGAAGAAGTGGAGCAATGGTACAATTACATGATCGATATTTATGCTTCTCCAGCAATCAATTCAGCATTTCAGCTGAATATATTGCTACTTCAGGTAAAAAATATTTTGGAAAGAATGTTCATTCCCATGGTAAGTTCATGTTATCTCATGGTAATTATAGAACTACTTTTCTCAGCACTGAAAATATAGGTTCAAGCACTGAAGAGAAATATTTATACAAACAAAATGTATTGTTACCTAGCAAGAGTTGAATCGGGTATCACTCATCCAAGACTGTTAGATTACGTACTGGGAGAGGGGCACACAAACCAAAGCAGAGTGTTCACCTTTGCAGTTTAATCTGCAATGCATGCATCCCTGTAGCAGGCAGACAAATAAGACAGTAATTCCCTATGTATATGTCAAGAAAAGCCTTCCATCTCTCCTCATCTTTCATTGAAAGAGTGAAAGAAAAATACAGGAGCTGCCCATTAAAACGTCTGAATTTCCTACACTTCTCATGCACATTTCTGCTCTACAAATAGGCATTTCCCTGTTAATTTGTAGCAGAGAACAGTTATGCAACGGCAAAAATAGAAAAACGAGAAATAAGAAAAAAAGGAATTAGGCAATTTATCAGCAAACAACTGTTTTTCTATTAGAACAGTTACTTCAACCTCAACCCCAGCAAGCAAACCCAAATGAAAACCAAACACGGTTGCACACTAATTTATTAGTCCCTACAGAAAATTTCAAACCTATTTGCTGTTTCATATTTATCTTCTATGTTTCTCTTCCTCCAGACCACAGGCAGCTCATGTTTTTGTTCCTTCCCTTAGCATCATCGATCTTTTATACAGGAAATATTAATATGCTGCACTCTTTTTGCTTTATCTTCGCTAGCAGTAAGCAGCACTACGTTCTCCTGCTCTCAAAAAACCAGCATCACTGAACTACTTGACCATGCATCATTCCTCATTTTATTCTCATATACAGGCTTCTTCTCAGGATTTAAACACTTTCAGGTGAAACTTTCAGAATATCTTCTTGTTGTTCTTTATTAATTCTTTCTGGAAAAGAAAAATTCAATTTATCAGGCGTTCATTCTGTCTTGTCCTTGAGGTTGGCCTTGCTTTGAGCAGGGAACTGAACCAGATGACTCCTCCTGACCTGACATATTCTTTGATTTTATTGTTACTTCTGTGATATATTATGCACCGTAGCTTTAGTATATATGCTTAATAAATTACCATTTTCTTATACTTTTTAGCCAACATTCAGTATATACACTTTTGAACGTCTTCATTTATATCCATGAAAAATATACTTCATATTTCTTGGTTAATGTTCAGAGAAGCTCAGATCTGACCTCAAAATAATCAAAGTTACAGACCCATGAAATTAATTCTCCTTTCACCATTAGGAAATATGAACGGGGTTCATAGTTGAGAACCTCCCTGCTGGAAGTATGCAACCTTTATCCCCCATCACTAAGACTAAAGAAATATTTTGCACTTTCTGACAGCGTAGTGAACTCTGGAAGTCTAACTTCCTCTCTTTTAATTGTCTGTCTTCTAAGATTCATTTCTAAATTCCGTCCCCTGGCTGCAGCTCTCCAGGATTTTCACACGATGCATTCTTCACTATGGCATTTATCTCCTCTACTTTAGTTACAACAAGCTCCAGATACTCCAAATTGCACGAAATAAACATAAATTGAAGACAGAATTCCTCACTCATGTTCATGTTGAAGTCTCATGATTGCTCGAACAAAGAAAGCACAGAATAGAACAGTTATGGAAAGATCTCTTGAAATTTTGTCCTTAAAGAATGCCTGTGCGCTTCTATTATAATGACTTATCTTTAAGAAATATATCATTAAGAACAACTGATTCATTTCCTTACCATCAGTGAAGAGGAACTTTCTGTACTGAAGAATGTTTTTCTTGCAGGCTTGCTAAACAGTGATAATGAAGATTGTTTTCCCACTCATTCAGTATTATTTTACGTTTGAGAGGTTATATCCAAGCGAGTAAGAGAAAAAAGAATATTTATTTTCTTTTCTAAACGTAAGAAATAATTGATCTCTTTTTAAGCAAATCACAATTTTGATACATTTTAAGGGGTTTATTCACTAAGAAGTTCACCAGTAACGACAGACCACCAACAAGGTCACTAGGCAAAAAGCCCACGCGGAAGGTTAATATTAGCAGACTGAGGGTCTGTACCATACACCACTGCTGTACAGAAACAGTTGATCATCACAGAAAAGCCAAAAGCACTTCAGACATGCCATTCTGTGAGAACAAATTAATCCAACATGACATAAAGCAGTTACCTAGAAGTATTATCCTATACGTTGCTTACTTTCCATACTATCTGCACAATATATAACATACATATGGGTAGAAGAGTAGCTAGCCATCTATGGCAACTTCCCTATTAGTGGGCTGTTGGGATGCCCTTCAGAAGAATCACACAGAGGTGCACACAGAGGTTAGTTGCCATATCCCCTGTGACTCCTTTTGCAAATAAGATCTCTCTGGCTATACTCGCAACACACAAGACCATACAAACCTCATGTTGGTACTTTGGCTGCAATAACAATCTTAGAATCACAGAACTGCTTGGGTTGGAAGGGACCCTAAGGATCATCGAGTTCCATCCTCCTGGCACAGGCAGGGCTGCCAGCTACTAGATCAAGTACCAAACCAGGCTGCCCAGGGCTCCATCCAACCTGGCATTAAACACCTCCAGGGGCAGGACATCCTCAGCCTTTGGCCATCCTGTTCCAGCACCGCACCGCTCTCTCTGTAAAGAACTTCCCCCTGACATCTAATCTAAACCTCCCTCCCTTTAGTTTTAAACCATTCCCCCTTGTCCTATCACTATCTACCCGTGTAAAAAGTTGATTTCCACCTCTTTATAATCTCTCTTTCAATACTGGAAGGCAGTAATGAGGCCTCCCCACAGCCTTCTCTTTCCCAGTCTGAACGAGCCCAGTTCCATCAGCCTGCCTTCACACAGGAGAGGTTCTCCAGCCCTTGCATCATCCTTGTAGGCCTCCTCTGGATGCAGTTTATAGAACATCTTATGAAATTATTTTCTTCTTCAGCATTTTTTTCTTTAAAGAGAAACCTGTAATTTCAAGAGCACTACACAGCGTATGATAGTGTTATCACACGTGCTTCTTGTACAGGTATTTCTAGAGCGGTTGGGTCCTTTTCTCTCTTACCTCACATCACATCAGTCTCACTGGACACAACGTAGCAGCTTGCTTGTAGCACAAGCTGATAACAAGCATCAGACACATCCTGGAAACTGATACAGTATGCTCTTAATTTGAAAATGCTAACTGCAGTTTAACGAGGCTCAGAACCATTTTTCTCACAGGCCAAGATGAGCCATTAGCAGGTTTTCTGTTACAATACAAGGGTTTCACAATTATACTTCCACCTGCAATCACATGGGTAATTTCCACATTACAGAAACTAGCTACTTTCTCTGTATTTCCTCAGATGTCGAGGTCAAAACTGGTTTAAGTACACAAAATAAGTACAGAGTTATATTTAAAATAAATCTCACAGTGAATCAATGCTGAAACACAGTACAGGTGTTGAGAGAACGCTGCCAGAAAATGTCACATGCTGAACACTGGAAACTGTTCTGAAGTGGAAAGACATCACCTGACAAAACCTCACTTCCTTCAGCGGCTCACATCAAGAGCCACTTTTTGACTTTGCTGCACCATACTCAGGAAAAGCAAGAAGTCCCTGGAAATCCTTGCCAAAATTTCAAATAAAAGATTCATAAGGTTGGAAAGAAATTCATCACAGTTTGATAAACTTACAGTGCGTGTCACATACCTCCCCCTGACTGATAAGAAGCTAGTTAGAGGCTTCTCTGGAAAATGATTTCTGGCATTGCCTTATACTAATGAGGTTAAGGTGAAAGGAACAAAACAAAAACCACAAAAGGCTGGGATTTCAGAAAACAGCATACGTGGATGAGCAAGAATCTTACAACAGAGGAAGCACGCGCAGGAGGCAAAGGATCTTTAACTCCTTTGGCTCATCAGTACCTCCTGCTTACTGAAAGCCAAGTATATTTGTTCATACAGCAATTAGGATACCCAGGAACTGGGAGCCAGCATATCCCTCTGCCCTTTTAGACCCCAAAGAGAAGCCATGTGATTCAGTTCAGAGCCTGAAGGAGATCACACCTTCCACTCACTGAGCAAATGGTTGCGTGAACAAATCTTAAACTGATCTAACAACAGTCTTCCATGCTGTTGCTGCCCAGCTGCTACAGGTTATTTACTTCTTTAGCTGAGTCAATAAAATGCTGTGCAGAAACTCACCCTGAACCCCGTGTGACTCAG